AATGCGAGCTCCTGGATTCACTAGTAAAGAAACTCTATGATCATTTTAGACGTAAAGCTGGAGCAGATGTTCATGAAAGTCTTCTTAAAGTAATTCTTGGAGGTGCGAAGTACGCTTGTGAGAAAGAAAATTGCATTTCTCAGATGGTTATAAATAAAGGGTGTCACCTACATGGAGGGTGTCATGGAAACTCCAAAGTGTTATTTAAGACATCTACAGAAGTTGAAAGTCTCTGTGATTCAGTATACAAGTCTATAATTGATGAAGCCCAAGAGATAGAAGAGATTGAATCCATGAGTAGAAGACCAGTTATTCTTGTTTTGGATCTTGAGGTGCAGGTGTGTTTACTTTTATCTTTGCTTCCTGGTTATTCTTTTAGTATTTGTTGCTTGAAGAGTCTTGATTCAACTTTGTGCTTCATTATGCCTGAAGTTCCTTATATAAAGTCCTCCCATGCTTCAAGAAGTTGCAATTTGGGAAATGATAGATTTGTTAAATATTGCAATTTGTTGTATCGTGTAAGCCTATACATTGTGCATAGTTACGCAGTTGTGCTGCAACTGTTTGAACTTCTCCAAGTTGGAAAAGTTTCTCTGCTAATTGGCAAGATTCTTTTTAATTGTTCCCTAATTGGCAAAATTCTAGTAAACCTTTTTAAACAGAAGGTTTTGGTAAGAAAAATAATGACAACTTCTGCAGATGCTTCCTTGGGAGAACCTACCGGTATTAAGAAACCAGCAGGTTTATCGCATGCCTTCAGTTAGCAGCATCAGAGCAACGCTGATCAAGTGTTGCCAAGATCAACAGCAAGTTAATAAGGGGGGATCTCCTATGAAACAAGGGGTTCCATCATCACCTTCCATTCCACTGATTGATCCACTGGATTCCTATTATCTTTTGAATCCAAGTGGAGATCTCAGCAGTACACAGAGTGAATTTGAAAACTGGTTCAGAGATCAGGATTTTGAGGTACTTCTCTACTTCACTCCTGGAATTAGAACAGTAAAAGGAAGAAAACCCTTCGACTAAGTATCACATTTTACCTTTTCTGAACGTGCATGTATGTGAAAGGTTCATCTATATATATACTCTACAAAAATTATGCTTTTTATGTTTCTTCCCTTTTTTGTGATTGCTAAAAGGGCCCTATTATCTTTTATGAATTTCAACTGAAAATTGAGATATATGTTTTCTTTAAATGGGAGGAATAACTAGCAAAAAGTAGTTTATTTTAGTGGAAACTGCAGTGGTTCTATTATTTTAGTTTGTTTCCACTGATATATACTATCTTATAACTATGAATAATTAGGACAAATAATCTTATTAGTCAATCAGCCAACTAATTTCACTGGGTATGTTGTTGTTGCTCCCTTAAAAAACAATATATATACATATACGCATATAATATCATGAACTAAGAAACAATTCTGAATTCATAGTTGTTAACCATGTCTTTCCCTTTATTAAAAACTAGTAAATGGGCCCACGCTTCGCGCGGTTAGAACATTCTTGTTTTAAATTTATTAGAATAGAATTTTTCTTGTATTTTGATGTTATAGTATTTTTTATATAAATCTATTTTTAAGAGTATAGAGGTTATTCAATTGTAGTTTATCATTTGTTTTATTAAAAGAAAATGCAAAAATACAAATCATAACACTATTTTCTCCTAGTTTATATAATTTCATTTTACAGATTCATTAATTTGCTCTGGAAATTTTACAATGGTTAGTTTATTTTTTTCATCTATATGCATGGTTACATAGTGTCTTTAATTAGAGAGTCAAGAAAATATTTTTCTCAATTTTCTTCTTTGCAAATTTTGTTAGTATAACACTATCTAATTACTTTCAAAATATTAAATATTTTTTAAAATATATATAAATATATATATATAACTAATGTGTTTATCAAGAGCAAAGGTTTCATAATCATATGATATACCAATAAGTAATATGTAGTTATTATGTGTTTTAAAATTAAAATGCTACCCTTCGGGGTGGCCCAGTGGTTTGGGCTTGGGACTTCCATGTTGGAGGTCTCAAGTTCGAAACCCCTTGCCAGCGAAAGCAAGGCGTTTTGCCTTTTGGGGTCCGAGCTCGTCGCACCAGGCTTGCCTGGTGCGGGTTACTTTTCCTATGTGGTTTGCGAGCTATTGCATAGGAGCGGGGGGTTTTTACCCCTGTGCGCACCCAAAGGGTAGCGGCTGCGGGTTTCCCTTGTCATCAAAAAAAATAATTAAAATGCTATCTTCCAAATTAAAATTTCATATGTAATATAGTTATGATAGTATTTTGGAATTGAAGTTGTGCACAAACAAAACATTAAGGATCCTTTAAAAGGGTGAAAGAGAAGTAAGGCATAATGGAAAAATAAGTTCAAAAAAATACTTTGGTGCGAGAGAATAGTCATCATTGTGTATCATACAATTGTAATCAATTGCTAGTTTTAATTCTATCATTTGACTTTCTATATTTTTTTTACTCCTGTTAATATTAACATTATTATGACAACAAACAAAAATCATATAATTTTTTAGGCTTGATCTCTTGGAGAAGAAAAGTTTTCTTTGGAAAATGTTGTACAGAAATGTATTATGTAAAAAGTTATTTGTGAATCTGCTGTAGTTGGATTTACATAGAGTCTATACTAACAAATACTTATAACAATAATTTTACAGAAACATAAACAACAAAGTTCAAAACATGTACTCAAAAACAAAAATTAATATCACAAGCATAAATTAATGACTGTAAAAAAATATACCAGGATCTGTAATAATATAATGAAACAGAAAGGAAAAATCGAGCCCACTGAATGCACAATGTCTCCTTAAGGAAATCATTTCCTCTAGTACCCGTGGTTTAAAAAAATAGATCCTCTCAGGATGAAACAATTTTATTCATCAGTGTAATGATACAAAAACAATAGTGTCAGTGATCCACTCAAGAAGAGCAAAGTACACAATTATTTAATTGTGCAAAAGAAGAAGAAGAAGTTCATAATCAAATATTTAATTGTGCAGAAGAAGAAGAAGTAGTAGTTAAGAATTTTCGTTGTTTTAAAATGAGAGGAAACCCCTCTATTTATAGACAATAAAGGTTAGTGTGAAACATTAATAATGTAAAGGAAAATGAAAATTATTACATCTTATCATTTATCTTTAATAACATAAGCATAAATAAATGATTATAAAAATACATACCAGGATCTGTAACATAAACAATGGTGTTAGTGAGCCACTCAACAGGAGCAAGTACACAAATATTTAATTGTGAAGAAGAAGAAGAAGAGGTTCAGAATTTTTGTATATATATATATGATATATGATATGATGAGCATTATTATCTCATCTGCAAAATCCCAAGTGGCTCTAGTAATATTTGGAGTGTATAACCATAATGTGATTTGTCACATGCCCCTTCCTAGGATATGTTAAACAAAAGCATTTAACTTCGTTGTGCAGGGGAAGTGTGGAACTGCACCAGCTGTAGAAGAATTAGCCGAGGCATTGAGGAGTCATGATCTTTTTATTTACTTCGGCCACGGAAGCGGTACACTCAAATTTAAACTGATTGACGATATTATCATGGTTCATTAGTTTTTACTAAATATTGCCTACACGCTCCTTTAGGAATAACATATGTTGCTATGCTGGTATTTCAGGAGCACAATATATCCCCGAGCATGAGGTGAAAAAACTAGAGAGTTGTGCTGCTACTCTGCTTATGGGGTGCAGCAGCGGATCACTGTATCTGCATGGATGTTATGCTCCTCGAGGTGCTCCCCTGTGCTATCTATTCGCAGGTTCACCAGTTATAGTAGCTAATTTATGGGAAGTGACAGACAAGGATATTGACAGATTTGGGAAGAGCATGCTTGATGCTATTTTGAGAGAGAGATCAAATGTTTCATTTAGGTGTGATCAATGTGATACACTTTCAGATAAACTTGAGTCCTTAAAAATTAGTAATAGAAAAAGAAGTGAAAGGGTAAAGACAAAGAAAGATACAACAGCTGATATGTATAATAACAATATATCTACTAACCACTGTAACCATAGACCAAAGATTGGATCATTCATGGGGCAAGCTCGAGAGGCATGCACTCTCCCTTTTTTGATTGGAGCAGCCCCAGTTTGTTATGGTGTCCCCACAGGAATAATAAGCAAAAAAGATTTGTAGTATTATTATGGCATTGTTATGTATATGATAATGTTCACACTTATTCTTTATTGCTTGTACAATCTCTTATCATTTTAAATATTCACATTACCATTGTAAATGTAATCAGTGTCAATTACACTGGGAAAACGTTCAAATATTTGATTGACTAGATAAATAGCAATCACCTAGTTATTATGATAGGATATTATACATGCTTAGAAATTTATTTTGCGGTTACCTGTTGAACCAACACAATGCTGGAACTAGTCAAATCAGTTTGGAACGCGAATTTGATTCAGATTTTAATGTCATTAATATCCAACTTTCTGCTAAAATAGCATTTTCCCCAAATGGCCCTAAGCAAACACCAATCCAGATCAATCCTCCAGTGCAGGTACTGGATGGTGAACCAAAATCAGTTGTTATGTGGGTCTTAAATGGTGTAAATATGGATTATGTGGCACAAAACAGTTCACTATTCTAATTATGTGAACAGGGAAAACTGTCTTTTGCTTTTGCTGTTTTGAACCATCCAAGCAGACGACGATATTAGCAGCTTAAGGCCCAATCTCCTCTGGGAGCAAGGAAAAGCAACTCCGCATGGAATTGGTAATTAAAATATATATACATTTATTTGAGAGAGAGGTTATCCTTAAAAGAACAAAGAGTGGCCGAGCTAAAAAAGCAAGGGAAGGGATAAAAAAGTACCCAGTCTACCAGAAAATTATTCTCTTCACATGTCCACAATTCAACTTCATATAACCGTTTCAACTACTGGGGCTAGAGACATGCTCTTGCCTAGTCTGGTTTATAGAAGAGAAACAACTCCAGATCTAAATAACATTCATACAAGTTGAAATGGTGAAAAGGTGAACAAGATATGAAAAATGTACATCAGAAATTGCATTAATACAAGAATTGACAGATAAATGTTCAAAAGACAGAATAAGGAAATTACAAACTACAAATCACAGTGAAACTGAGCTTTCTTCAAGTGCCCGCCAATATTTCTGAGCCATCCTACAATCTACCATGTATCAAACATCAATCTGAGGCAGATGTGCATGAGAATGTTAGAGCACAGTTAAATCCTAGACTAAGACCTATAATTATTTCTTTTTTCACAATTTCAAACATACACAAATTACATCTATCTCCGACCTGCGTTGGCCTCTCTACGTCTTCGTCTCCTCCCAGAGCGACCCAAGAGGACTCTACCTTCACGACGAAGACGCCCAACTAGTGACATACCACTATCATCATTATCGTCCCCACTATTGTCACTGTCATCATCAGAGTACTCGAAACCACCAATTGGGAGGTTTCGGTCAACTCCACCAGCACCTCTATCCAAAGTATCACTTATGTCTCTCTCGTGCCGCCTCATAACCCGATTTGACCCAATATTCCCTGCTGAACCAAAAGCCTGCAAAAACAGAAACACATTCATCAAGTTGCGATCGATGCCCATTCCAAAACCTTCATTCCCATTCATCATCTCATTCGCATCAAAACCCTCTTCATCATCTGAATCAAAACCATAATGACTTCCTTCTATCACATAATCACCAAAAACCACAGCCCCTGGCATAGAAGAAGTTATAGTGCTGATAACATCATCCCTCTCTCGTTCCCTCTCAAGCCTTGTCCATTTTTGTTCAAGAAGAGGATCTACCTCACGTGGTCTAGCACAGGGGTGCTCTGCCTTAACATGTTTTCGTATCTCCTTGTAGCTTCCAACAAACGAGCAATCATCCTGCATGCAGCTACGCTTCTTTGAATTTAGATATTCTCTAGCAGGTTCAACCACAGTCCATCCCTTCACCTGGCCTCTACATAGTGGGCAAGCAACTTCTGAGACCTCGCTTTTCTCAGAAGGCCAAGTAGAAAATGGTTCAGCAGTTGGAGTATCATTATCACCCTGCACAGGTTGATTATTATCTGGCAGTATTGCTTTAGTGTAGGCTTTCTTGTACTGATCGAGGCAGTTAGAATAGCGCAAGCTAGTTCCACACATGTAGGGGCGGCAACCTTTGTCATGAGAGGAACACAGGAGAAGCACAGCGTTATGGGGATATTCCATGCATACAGAACATGTTGCATCTTCCCAGTCTTTCTTCTCAAAGATTTTAGAGCATTTCTTTTGGTGAACAAGTTCAGAATGGTTAGCAGATGGCAAAGGGTATGGGGTGGCCCTGCATCGTCGAGAACCATTCCTACGTCGTCCTGTGGTCCCTTTCGCCATTTCCTAAACAGATCTGCATGAATAGAACATCAATAATTTAGCATGATTGCATTAAATTAGAAAGAGAGAGCAGTCACATCCGTTATCTGAGGATCAAGAAGGAAAGAAGAGTAGGATAGACCTTTCGCGAGAGAGTAAAAGAGGAAATAATAAGGGGTGTTAGATCCATCACTAAACTGCAGGATAAAGAGCCCTATGCTAATAAAGAGATCATGCAGCCTGGTAATTCAATACTACATCATACCAGTCCACTATGACCTCAATCCCAAAGTATTTGGGCTTAGCTATATGATTACTTTGTATCAATTAAGCTCTATCTGAAGCTAATATTCAGAGCATAGTCAAATTTCACAATGACTTGATTACAAAAATAAAGTTTTATAAATTAAATCTAGTCAAAAAGCAACTTAGACCTATCTTTTAGAATTATGAGTCGGCATACCTGGGTAATTGCCCATAATATGTTGGTAAGTAAAAATACTTGACATGCATTCAGACCAACTATATGAGAATGATTAGAGGCATCAGGAGAGTAACCCCCTGGGCCTATTCTCCCTGATGAAAAAAACTAGGAATGGCAAATACATTTAATTGAATTTGATCACAGAAGAGTGAAGATAAGGAAAAAACTTAGGAAATGAAATAAAGCAACCCAGCTGTTACTATCCTTCATTCCCTGTCATCCTATCTGTTTCTTTTTACTTTATGCTCAGGAGTCATCAACTTAAAATTCTCGAATTCCACCCTAAAATAAAAGTGTAGTGAAGGATTCAAAACCAAGTCAAGACCAAGGAAAAAAAACAGCTCCATGCCAAAAAGACAAAACAGCGGCAGACAGAGCGGAGAACTTCCATTCGCATCAGGACAAATATAGACTTCCTCAACATGCACAGAAAGTCAATCCAACTCAAAGAGGAATTGTCTCTGATGGTATATTATCCCACACACACACCACCACCACCACCACCACCACATGAATTATGGGAGGACCTCACTAGTCAATTCCCTGTACTTCCAATTATATGTGAAGCTAGCACATACTTTAAGAAAGAAATAAAACCTTTGAACTTGTGACCTTAAACATGCCCTAACATTTGTGTGGCTATACGACTTTACCAACTTGTGGTCTTAAACATGTCATAACATTTGTTTGGCTATAAAAACTTCTCATTAAGGGTAACACGGAAATTTAAATCAAAGTGTTTCCAAATTTAGGGAGGGGACATTCTTTTTTAAGCGGACTAAAGAGGAAATATGTTCACTGTTCACATAAATTAAAAAAGAGGGAGTAGCTAATATGTAAAAATATACATATGCCTGTGTGTAAAAATAAGACCCTGATCAGCAATTATTGAAAAGCTAACATGCGACGCCTAAATGTTCAACCCATTTGCTGCAACTCAATAAATCTTCATCTTTCAGAAAGGAAAAAAAGAAATATTTCTACACCTCTCAAGCAAATGTCAGCTCCTAGCATAAAATTGGAACTCTTAAAGCTACAGATCTGATCATAAGAGAACTGCCCCCCTGATTCTAGCTCAAACGCCAACAAATCACACACTCATTAAATAGTCTGATCAATTGAATTATAACAATGATAATCAGACTAACATAAAAAGTAAGACCAGATGAGGAGGGAAAAATGAAGAATTTAGAATTGGGGAATCCAGGCACTGTTAAGAGCCATAGGAACACCTCTTATCAAAATCAAAAAGATGATCAGACCACCCAATCACATTGAAATATACCAAAGACAAGACGTTACCCGTACACATAAAGATCAAATTTTGCATTAGCTTAGACAGAATCCTCTTAGAAAATTGTAATTCAGATGAACAACCAGCCCATTTGACCTCCATCCATCGTTTCCCCAGAAAAATCAATCAACAACCCAGTTGGGAAAAACACCTCACAACAACAGATATCCAAACACCAAGAATGAAGACATATTCACATTATACAGACCATCAAGCTAAATTGATCAAAAAAGAAAAGGTAAAGACTCATACCCACCTTGAGTTTAGAGCGAATCTGGATCCAAAAAATGATAATTGTGAGCAGCAAAAAAGTACACGCTATCTATCTATATATATACACCCCGATAGAATTCAACTCCCACCTATCTACCTACTACTTAAGCAAAGACAGGTTCAGAAAATGCATCTAATACACGAAACAACGTGCCCCAGCAGAACAAAATCACGCGAGAATACAGATAACAAAATGAATAAATTAATAGCAATAATTCAAAAGCTCAGTACAGCAAACAATTATTTAAATAACATAAAAACAAAGCCAAGCACATGACTCTCCTTGACCTTTTCTAATCACCCCCATCAATCTCAGATTCACCATTAATTTTATCCAATTATCAAATCCATCAATTGTCCCATTATCCCCATATATCCCACAATCACCAAACCTCAGAAAATCATAAAAATAAACAAAAAAAATACATCATTCTTACCGGGAAAAAAACCGAATTGATTAAAACTGGAGTATGAATGAATAGGCAACAAAAAGGAAGGACGCTTAAAGGTGAAAGAAAGAGATAGAAAGCTAGGGTTTTCTCGTAAAAAGGAGAGAGATCTGTGAGGGAATTCACTTTAGAGCGCAGGCATTGAAAAATGAAATAGAAAAAATTTGGGGATTTTGGATTTGGAGGAGAGAGAAAGTAAAAAAGCGAAAAAGAAGGGGAAATGGTAGAGAGAGAAAATTCATGGGATTCGTGGAGTCATTTCTACGCTACTCTTTTTCTCCTCTCGACGGCAGTTAGGTGGCGGTTTCACTCGCGCCTCGGAAACTGATATTCACGCGACCATTATTTTCTATATGTGATTTACATCTTTTTATGATAGCTTCCTAATTTTTTTTATTTTCTTGTAAAATATTGAAATGATTCTTTTAAAATAAATAAATTGATGAGGTCAAAATTAAAATAAAAATATTGAAAAAGAATACGAATAATCACGATTTCAAGACCTTAAATGTGAAATTGTGAAAGATGATAATAATGGTCAGGATCATGATAAGCATTAATAACGATGGTAATTTTATCACCCATAACCATTAATAATGATAATGATAAACGAAATAGTTTGACTTTGTTGGGAAAATAGCACAAAATAAAGAGAGATCAAATAATTATTAAGTTGTTAGTTTGTCTTTCTTTATCTGATTTTTCACTTTAATGGTTTTGAATATGTCTATCAAATTACATAAAAAAAATTAAAATTTGTGATCTAAAATAAATAAAATATATTAATATTTTTTTTATACTAACTAAATAAATCATATAAATTGAAACGAAAGGAGTACGTGATTAATAGTAAATCACCAAAAGTTTGCATTTAGTTTATTAGTGGAGAGTGAAGGCCACACGTGATGAGTGGTTAGATTATTGGTGTTGCCATTTGTTTGAGACGTGAGGTGTTTCATCAAACATTGGGAATCGTGACTACTAGGCTAAATGACACGTCAGCTTTAATTTTCCGGAGGTACTAAAGCATATTCTTATTTTAATATTTTCTCACATTTTTCGAGAAAAAAATCAGATGAAATTAACAATTTTAAATAGCACAACTAAGTGCTCCTTTCCTTACGTTGGTCTAATTTGATTTGACACAAAGTTTAAGAAAATAAAAAAAACTTTTAAATTTTATGGTCCTAAATTAAAGTTATGTCAAATATACAAAATTGTACTTTAATCTTGTGGTCTTAAACATACCACGTGAAAAGTTGAAATTAAAATGTTACCAAAAAAGAAAAAGGTCATTTTTTTTTAAACAGACTAAAAAAGAAATAAGATCATTCTTTTTTAAACGAAGGGAGTAATAATTTTTGTGTAACTTTTGTACCAAGACAAATAAAAAACATCAAAAACTGTATGTTCTTTAAACTTGTACGAGAAAATCAATTCTTTATTATACATTATTCATTTTACAAAATTATAAAATAATTTAGCTTTGTTGTATGGCTATAAAAAAATCTTCAAATGATAATGCAAGATGTTGTGGTGTAATAGTGGAAGATGATATATTTCTGCAACAAACAAATTCATAATAGAAAAATAAAATCTAAAACCTCCATTTTTCAAAAAAAAAATTCCAAAGACTGATGGAAATGTATTTGAAACCAAAAGGCTCATTCCATTTTTATATATTTGGGGTAATTTCAAAAACATCGATTTAAAGTGTTGATTAATTATTCACTTTTTTTGTGGTTTATAATATTACGTCTTACTTATGTATTGGGCGATTATTTCATTATCAAATAGAAAGCCAGTCTATTTTGTTCACTTCCTCTCTTTTTTTCCAACTTAGGCACAATATGTCAAAACATAAACATCAAAAACTAGGTTAGTCATATAATATACTTCCTTAATTCAACAAAATTTTGGTTTAATCAATCGGCATTCAAGACCTATTTATCTAATCAATTTATATATGTATTGTGTAAAGTTCACTTAGAATAAGTGTTTCTCATCAAAATTTTAATCAAAAAAATCATTTATCAGATCTGATTTCTCATTTTATTTTGTTTTATTTGTCTCTTATCAACTAGGCCATTCTAGTCCCAAGTTCCATCTAATATGGAAAAACTTGTTTCAATTAAAATTTAGTTGGAAATGTAGATTGATCTAAAACATTATGGAAGAGTAAAGAGATAAAGGAAGAATAGAGTCTAGAATTCTAGAGGTTTCCTACTTGAGTAGGGTTATTTATTACTATCTCATGGGCAAGAGGTAGCAATACTATTTGCTAAACAAACATTTGTTCATAAATTTTGGATTAAATTTTAAAAAATTATCTTTCAATATTTGTTGGATTATGAAATTTGATCAATTTTTTGAAAACTTGATCTTCAAATATTATTAGTCAGATTTTACTCACAGAACTTAAGATTTTATTCAAGTAAAATGCATGCCTAAAAACAACTTCAAATTTCAAAAATTACAACTCCAATAACTCAATTTTTACGAGAATTAAAAGGTGAATATTGTCGAATTTAGAAGATAATTTTACCTAATATCTGATACACATCCACAATGACGACATACTTACACACGTATAATTTAGTTTAATTCAACTATATAGATTATTAATTTACAAGTAATACTTAATGAGGTGGATCACGTACGCTTTACATTGCGTAATTAAAAAGAATTATACTTTATTAGCTTGGGAGATTTATTTATTTTTCAGTAATTATCTTACGAGATCGTGCATGTAAATATATCTCAATTCGAGAATAGTAATGATCAAGAAAAAAAATCAAAGATTTAATTGACTTTATATGCCAAGGCGTAAAGAAATATCACGAAATATACAAGTTTTAAAATCAACTAATTAATGAATTGTTGTATTCCGGTTGATCCATAACAGTATATGTATTTTAAAATCTTTTACACCTCCTCCAAAAAAGATATTTAATAGTACAATAGCATTTACTACAAGATTATTATCTATTATCTTTAATTCATCCTTAATTTAATATCTCACTAAATTATTACTCTATTAATTAGAGCAGTAATGGTAGATATGAATAATAAATAATTTCTTATTCAACTTTAAAAATTGTTAAACAAATTCGATTTATCAAAACGACTATTATTATCTAAAGAAAAGCTTCCTTTTTTCTTGCAAAGAAAACAATAGGACAGAACTTGAAACCCAGAGGTTTTCAGCTCCTTATTCTTATGGGTTTGTTTTATTAAATTATCTTGATTAGTTATATTTTAAATAATCAATGGAAAGGATAAAAAATCTCTTTTAATTTGTTAAAATAGACAAGTTAACAAAAGAAGGAAGAAGTATTTTGCAAGACTAAATAAAAAAAGGTACACTTGATATTCCAATAGACAAAGTTATCTACAAAACCAACTAATATCTCTAACCAATTATGGAATAAAACAATCCTACATTTTATTTCGATATTATTGTTCCTTGTCCCAATACCAAACGAAAGATCATTTTTTGGCTAAACAGATAGGGTTGGCTTTGTTCCATCTTTTGTGGGTTAATTAATCTGTTAACTGTCAAACTATGCAGGTTTACAGATGAGGGACTGGAATGGATCACCACCCCCTATATTAAAGCATATAATTTAGGTCACATGCCCATGTTAGTAGCCTAGCCTGTCACAATCCTATTCTTTATAGGAATAAAATTACATCATCAACTCACATGAACTTTGCTTTCATCTTTAAGCAATCACAGCTAACTATGGAGGAAAAAAGAAATAGAATCTACAAAAGTATGAAGCTGGCCAAATCATTTGCCAATACAAAAAAAAAGAGAAAGGAGCGAGCTCAATATTTTTTCACCTAAATACATAAATGAAATGTTAAAAGAGAAAAACAAGTTGTTAAAGTAACAGGCTAACAGCCATAGATATCACAGCAGTAGAGAGAAGCTCAGTTCAAAAGGAAAATTGAGAAGAAAAAATAAAGAGACAATGTGGGGGAGTAGAGGGGCAAATGGAACAACCGAACAAGCATATATTTTTTAGGCTCTCCTAATTGATGTTACAATACCCTCCTAAGGGATATATTAGTAATCCTAGGGACCTTTGGGGGGGTCATCTCCAGGCAGGTCATCTTCATCATGGTAGATGTTTTCAGCCATCTGCCAAATTTGTAGTATATTATCCTCAGCAACACTAGCAACGACCCAATCTTCACATGGGTTCCATGAGAAGTCTGAAATTTTACTTGTATGGCCACCATGAATAAAGAGCAACTCTGGTGGTCCATCTTCTGCATCTTCTGGAGTTTGTTCCTCATCGATCCTACACCAAATTTAAAAAAAAAGTGAAATTTCAGGTTTACTGCAGCCTGCAGATCTTAAAGGGAACATTATATATAAAACCTCTAGTGATTCATGTGAATCATCTAAAAAAAATCCCATGTAACGCCATACAAAGGCATTCAAGCCTAGACGTTAAATGTATCACTGAGCAGAAATGGCTTTTTTTTACACAAGAAAATATCATGGTTAAACTAGTTTTTCTAAAGTTCCGTTTAAAGTACATGGTTTCAAATCCTCAACGCAATGATATCTATAATGTCAAAGTCCAACTTCTATACGACAAGTTGTCACAAAGCAAAAACAATGGATTGGATACCACCCAACAATTCAGTGAATAAGTGCAATCCCAGATACTGAGACTTGGATCAGAAACTCAGATTCAGACCACATGATAATACAATTGTACATCTGGATTATCATGTGTACAAATCAACATGGAACTTCAATTCTACACTTGCCAGTACTCAGTAGAGCATATGATGTAGTCATTTTCACATGCTAGGACAATTCAGTACAATATAGACTCAAACACACAACAGAATGAGCCTATTTCAGAGTTCCAAATCCACATGTTGAGTCAGGTGACAAAGTTGCAACCT